CTGGCGACCTTTGGTGCGGAAGTGGAGAGCGCTCCTTCCTCTCGAGAGATCAGCGGCACTCCACTGCCCTCTGAGAGCTCTTCTTAGTGGCTGGCTTGCCCTCTTGGGGAGCCTTTGCTGGTTTCTGAGGCACGTGCTGCATCGGTGGTGTGGGTGGAGGCCTTTGCTCTCTCAGCGCCGGGGGAGCTTGTGAAGGCGTCGGTGCCGTCAGGGGTTTAGGTCCCAGGCTGCTCCCAGGACTTGGAAGGGCCCCGACTAGGGAGGCATGGACATATGGCTCCAGAGTGGCCGGGCAGCCTGAAGTAGGTCCCTTGCCTGATGACCCAGGGCCCTTCTTGCCTGGTGCAAGGGAACCATGCTTCCTGACCTTTTTTTTGCACACCACCGACAGGGAACGGTGCCAGGCGTGCACAGCGCGCCGAAGTACTCGGCGAGTCCTGGCGGGATGGCACAGAAGCCGGACAAAGGGTGGACTCCATGAGACAAGCCCGTAATCGAATATCCTGCTCCTTCTGCATGTAGGGCTGAAAGGTTTTACAAATTTGGCTCTTATCTCCAACATGTGATTCCCCTAAGCACTTGAGGCAGCTGCTATGGGGGTCACTTACAGGCATAGGCCTGTTACAGTCCAGCAGGGCTTAAACCCAGGAGACCGGGGCATGCCCGGCCTGGGGCAAAGTCCCCACTGGGACCTTAACTGCTAACTGCACTTAACAACTACTTAACACTAACTACTATAAACAAACTATTTACAAGGCCCTAAGGCTCGAAGTCAGTAAGATGAAAACGGCTAGCCCGTGCAATGCAAGGAAAGGTGCTCCGACTAACCATGGGTGGTAAGAAGGAACTGAGAGGGCGTAGGGTCGCTGGTGCCTGATCCATAGGGTCATGGCTCCGACCCATGAGCACAACACTCAAGGGGCGCCACTGCCATCCCTACAGATACCACAAAGTCAAAAAATATCCAACATCCAACGTCCGTGCACATGGGCGTGCACACAGCAAGATTGGAATTGTCATGAGCAAGCACGTGAAGAAGAGCTTTATTTATGGCTTTTATTACTCAAAATTAAATAAGAATGTAAACATAAGCTAAACAAATATGTTTATAATACTGTTTACAAAGTTTAAATGAACAGATTTCAATTTAGAGATTTTAACTGATGGAGTGAAAAACAATCTCAGTAAATCAGTATTTGGACATATTTCAGAGGAACAGCCGTGTTAGTCTGTATTCGCAAAAAGAAAAGGAGTTCTTGTGGCACCTTAGAGACTAACCAATTTATTTGAGCATGAGCTTTCGTGAGCTACAGCTCACTTCATCTGATGAAGTGAGCTGTAGCTCATGAAAGCTCATGCTCAAATAAATTGGTTAGTCTCTAAGGTGCCACAAGAACTCCTTTTCTATTTGGACATAGTTATTCTATTCTTTTTAAACTTATTTTAATTCTCTCCAGTACTGAGGTGCTGATTGTGATACCAGCCCACAACTAAAGATCCTTATCCTCGTGCAATGCTGATTTGTCAGTCAAACATTGCATCAATCTAAATCTATAAAATGATCCATGACAGTTAAACTAAAAGTGATTCTAAAAGTGATTAGAAATTCCAGCTATTACTTAAATACTGAAATTTCAGTTCAAAATTGCCTTCCTAGAAAGTATTTCATAGCCAAGCCCTTTCCTTATGTGCACTCACAAAGTACACTTAATGATTCAAAGCTATTTCAAATGTCTTCTGAAATTCACCAGTAGGGGTAACCACATGTCACTTTTAATCTTATTTTACTGTAAGATCCTACTGTAATCAAATGAAAGGTATACTCTTTAATTTTTAGCTTATATCTCATTAAAATCCAGTTTTCATGTATCTGAAAAGCAGTTTTATGTAATACTGCAAGTAACTGGGTTTTCAAAAAATTGCGATAGTTTGTATGCTTTCTTTCAGCTATATTCTCACTAAATGTAAACAGATTCTACTTGTAGTGCTATGTTGAACGGTCTGGTCCCATTGCTCTTAACCATTTATTAATACAAAATTATTTTTAGGCATCTACAGGGACACTAGTTTGTGAAGGACTCCATGGTCAGGACTCCATAGTTAAGACTGAGTTCCATTTTGCACATATAACCTCTTTGTTTCACATGGGAAAAGACAGTGAATCCTCCCCAGAGGTACAGCACTTACTTTTTTAAAGTACAGAATGAATTTTCTAACAATTTATACGTAGATCCTTTAATTAGTTTGAATTAACATTAATAAAAAACTGAATCCATTAAAAAATTTAACATATCACTTTTGTTTGTCCTGAATGAGTTTAATTAAAGTATAACACACACACACTTCAAACTTTCCATATAGTTAAAATTAATTAAATCTTGAGTACAGTCTGTATTCAAAGAAATTAGGCTGCACTTGAGCAAAGTTATTAATTGTTGTTGTATCTAATTATGATGATGATAGGCTACAGATGGGGTAATGTGAACCGGACAGGGTGTTTTCAACGTGTGAGAAGTAAATTATGGAAGTTACCTGAGACTTTTTACCCTTTTTACAAGGTGCAAACTCCCCTGTTGCGTCCTTCCAAAATATAAGCTCTGCCAAGTCAATGAAGAAACCACACGTACTAGGTCACTTTGATTGCACCAGAGGAAGCTGACTTTTCTCTGTTACCTAGAACTTATCCATCTTTTTGATTTTCACTTGAATCCCTTATTCAGACTCCTGTCTCTGGCCATCCTTTTCTAGTCATGGCCTAGAGAGAAGTACCTCAATTCTGTTATCACAGCTGGTTTACAGCTCTGGAATGCACATAAGCATCTCAGTTTTTTTCTTGGATCCATCCTGCACTGAAATGGCAGAAGCTTGTTTTTAATCTATAAATACCACTTTGGTCTGTTTTAAAGGAAGGTCTAGGCCCAGTCATTTGTCCTCCATTGTATTTAAAAGAGGTTCCTACCACTTGTTTAATTTTGTTTACTTGTATTTCAGTTGCAATAGTCTTTGACTTCCAGCATGCAGTAGCCTGACAGTGATTCTTTCAGGAGGATTGTTTGCATGTCCAGTTTCTCTTTCTGCTTCTAGATTCCTTGTTCTATAAAAGCTTTTAGTTTAAAAATTTACTGTTTTGTCCTATTATCTCATTAATATAGTTTGTATTGTGAATGTATGACGTTACCACTAATGTTTCAGTATCTTAGACAGACAAGGTAGCTGAGGTAACATCTTTATTGGACTAACTTCTGTTGGTGAGAGAGACCAGCATTTGAGCTTACACAGAAGAAGAAGAAGAAGAGTTGTGTGTAAACTCGAAAGTTTATCTATCTCACCAACAGAAGTTGGTCCAATAAAGATATGACCTCACCCACCTTGTTTCGCCAATATCCTGGACCAATATGACTACTGCATATTAGTATCTTAGATATTACATAACATAACACTACATAACAAGTATCTTAGTTACTGTCAATTCCTGTTTCTATAATATATCAGGAGCTTGAAATTATTTGATTTGTTTGAAATTATTACTATTCCTATCTTGGTATCTGTTTTAAAGAAAACATAGATTTAGCCCTCTGAGCTTAAAATGTAAAGTGCAGCCCACAATATGTTTGCTATCCTTTTTAACTAGAAAACTCAAGTAGACTGTTGGGCACTGCATTAAAATTAAATTAAAAATACAGCTTGCCGAATCTTCCCGTCATACATAGGCAGTAGGATTGAAAGAATGGGATCATATGGTCTGCAGCTTTCAGTGCTGTTGGGTACAAGCTTTCCAGCAAAATAGAAAGTATACCATTATGCACTCCAAAGGAGATTACAGTGTATTTGTAAACAAATGGTTCTGGCCTTCTACTATACCAGTTGCAATATAATACAGTTATTTAAAGCAAATATGGCAACAGACTATGTTTCTGGAAAAAATAATAAACAACTGGTTATTTTTCTGGTATTCATAGTATTCAACCTGTAGCTAACAGTGGGAATAAGTTAAAATTGATACCAGTATTGTTATGATGTATAATTTAATGGGAAAATAGAAACGATGCTTTGAGACAGACTCTATAAAAATGAAAAGCTTTGCTGGATAAACTGCCAGTTTCCGTTTAGTGTTGGAAAAAGTTCCAATTGTTCATGAAAGAGTTAATTTCCTGTTGTGGTGCTGGGATTGATAGAGGAAATAGGAGGTACCTGGAAAGAATTTGTGCAATATTAGCAATCACAAGTTGCCTTTCTGTTGGCTTGCCTTCCCTTTGCTTTGTTGTTTTTAACCAGACTCTCTAATCTCTCCTTTTGCCTCTAACCACCTCCCAATTTCCTGTTCCTTTCTTCCTTCTGTGTTTTGTCCAAAAAATTGGGTTGTTTTTCACTTTTCTTTTCAGTTTGAGTGGCTTGCAGGAAAGTGGGTTAAAATGAATGCCATAGTTGTTTTTACAGTATCTATTATCTTCTGTGTTTCATGCCTTTTTGCTGCTCTTGGTGTAAGTTACTTATTCAAGAAGATCTTACTTTAAGAGTATTATTTCAATGAGGGCAAGCAATTCTGCTTGCTTTTGAACTTTTTAGTATTTATTGTACTTTATTGGTTAATATGTCTGCAGTAATTCAAAATATTCTACTTTAGCTTGTATGCTGCTTCTTATTTGTGAGTATTGTAATCATTTTGGATTTGGAGCTTTTCAAAGATGATTACCATTTTCTTTTGCCTCATTTACCAAAGTGATATATTCCTGGATTGTAACTGGAAGAGCTGAAGAATTTGTTTTGTTTTTAAAAAGAAATTTGGATGAAGCATTTCAAACCTTAATCTGAGGTCTGTTTCTTCTTTGTCAGAATACTACTTAATATTTGTTTTTAAAAAATCAACATGGTGTACGTTTGAAGAAAATGAAGCAGTATTTCATAGTAATTGTTGATCCCAGCAGCAGTGTAATGATGAATTTTGGGTATAAATTACCTGCCAGTGAAGTAACAGGAAAACATTTGCTTTTCTTTTTCAGATTGCTTTCTCACAGCACAGCAACTTTATGGACCTGGTACAGTTCTTTGTGACATTTTTCAGGTACTTTTCATTTTAGGCAGATAAATGTTTCAACTGTTTTAAGAAAGCTCCTTTTATCAATACACTGATTTATAGTTTATTAAAGTTAAACCATCATCTTTATCTAACATTTAAGTCTAGTGAATTGAAAGTAGTACTATTAACATTTAAAATATTTTTTCTTGGTAAGGTTAAATTAGAGAAATTTAGTTAGATCACGTCTGTGCAAGCGCTCACCATCCTCTGAATAAAGTGAGCCCTTATCGTAAGTGTGAAACAGGTTCATGATGCCATAAGAATGGAAACAACAGAAGTAAAATAATATTCTGTTTCTTCTTCCATTCTTCAAAAGGGTGTTCTTTACAAGAACATGGGAAGACTCCAGAAGTGATGAAAATTGGGTCCTTAGGATTTCATAAACTGATGTGCTGGACTTTCTAATTGTAGGGACTGTTAATATTTCATAACATGACAATAATATATATACTACTTTCAAGTAAACATTTCAAAGTGCCTTATGAACATTAAAGCCTCACAATCCTTTGTGAAGTAGATAAGGATTATACACGTTTTACTCATGAGTAAACAGATAAAGAAATGGTATCTTGCCTGAGCTTTTACACACATTCAGTGTCAGAAGAGGTCATAAAACCTAAGAGCACTGAGTTGGCATTTCATGAAGATCACTTATCACAGCTCCTATATCAAACTTTTTTCGTAGCACTACATCTTAAAATACTGCTGTGAGGACACTTTACAGTGGATGCTTGTTTACAGCAACACCTTGTAAGAGTGACCGCTGCTTGTGAGCAACATTTCCCCTGGGAGCACTTTCCCTACTGTGAATTGTTGACACTCCCCATAACAGCAACGGTCGCTTAGGCGCAACGTAGAAAAAGGGCACCGATATTTTCCTACTAGTAAGCATCTACTGTATATGGTTTACTTCCTGTCTGATTCATGTTGATATGGGGTAAAATCTTGTTCCCATTGAAGTAAGTGAGGATGGTTCTTCAAGTAGTGTCCTTGAGGGTGCTCCACTTCATGTGCCTCTCATGTGCCTTGATTGGAGATTTTCTATTAGTAGTGTCTGTTCGACCTGTGCATGCACACTATACAACTTGCGCCACGCTCCCAGGGCATACAGGGCTGCACGGGCAAATCGCCCTCAGTTTCTTCTCTCCAACCTCTGCCTGAGATGGAGCTCTAGCGTGCCTGCCTTGTGTGTGCCTCAGTGTGTTTTGCAGTTTAGTTCAATGTTTCTAGTTAGTGTTAGTTGTTAGAATAAAATCAGTTAGATGTGAGAGGTTTCATTTTTTTCTCCCCTGCCCCTCCTTTTTTACCCCCTCCCCCACTTTTTTCTGGTGAACTCATTTGGTCTGGCTAGGTATGCCCGGCTCACCAGGTTTCAAAAGCTGCTTCTCTTGTTGGGCGGCTGTCCCAATCAGCAACAGACACTCTAAATGTATCCATTGTGTTGGAGAGTCCCATATCTCCCAAAATTGTAACTTTTGCCTGGCTCTAAAATCTGGAGCTCAGATGAACTGGAAGACCAAACTGAAGCTGCTGCTGATGGAGCACTCCCTTCGACCTCCTTCCGAGTCAGGTCAGCAGACCACACACTTTCCACCTTCCCTCCCCCTGCCATTCATCTGTCTTCAGACTGTGTCCCTTTGGCTAAGGTCTTGCCTAGAAGGGGGAAGATCTCTGAGGACTTAGGGAAGGTTCCAAAGCAGGGGAAGGAGCCAGCTCCCAAGCAGTTCTGATCTCCTGCTAGGTTTATGGTGTTGGAGGCCTCAGTCTCTCAACTCGGTACTTTCATGGCGGAAGACTCTCTTCCTCCAGTACCAGTGGAGCAGGGAGACCGCAGAGCACGTCAGAGAAACATAACGCTGTCAGAGCCCCAGTACCATCCGCCTCCAGATCAGCACCATCTATTTCAGACTTACCAATGGTGCCTTCCCACATGGCTCTCTCAGTACTGTCCAGGGAGGTTGAAGTGCTTCAGGTTGGGGGGCTGTCTATAAGCAAGGACTGGCCTGTTTCCCGTGCACATTGGTGGAAGCACTCTATGTAGAAATCCCATCTGTTATTTCGACCTTCAGGAGGAGTCCACGCAGAATCCTTCTTTTTGTATTGTTGTTAGGAAGGTTTCTGTGGGTTAGTATGCTGTTCAGAGGTGTTGGAAATATTCCTTGAGTCGGACACATTGAAAGTAGGATTCTAGGTCGCCACAGAACTGTATCATGTTCGTGGGGGTGGAGGGGCATGAAGGACGATTCCTCACTCTCACAGATCTTGGGAGACAGGCCAGTCCTCACTTACAGACAGCTCCCCAACCTGAAGCAAATACTCACCAGCAACCACACAACAAAAACACTAACCCAGGAACCTATCCTTGCATCAAAGCCCGTTGCCAGCTCTGTCCACATATTTATTCAAGGGACACCATCATAGGACCTAATCACATCAGCCACACCATCACAGGCTCGTTCACCTGCACATCTACCATTGTGATATATGCCATCATGTGCCAGCAATGCCCCTCTGCCATGTACATTGGCCAAACCGGACAGTCTCTACGCAAAAGAATAAATGGACACAAATCAGACGTCAAGAATTATAACATTCAAAAACCAGTCGGAGAACACTTCAACCTCCCTGGTCACTCAATTTCAGACCTAAAAGTGGTCTTTCTTCAACAAAATAACTTCAAAAACAGACTCCAACGAGAAACCGCAGAACTGGAATTAATTTGCAAACTGGACACCATTAAATTAGGCTTGAATAAAGACTGGGAGTGGATGAGTCATTACACAAACTAAAAACTATTTCCCTATGCTAATTTTCCCCCTACTGTTACTCACACCTTCTTGTCAACTGTTTGAAATAGGCGATCCTGATTATCACTACAAAAGTTTTTTTTCTCCTGCTGATAATAGCCCACCTTAATTGATTAATCTTGTTAGAGTTGGTAGGGCAACCCCCATTTTTTTCATGTTCTGTGTGTGTGTGTGTGTATATATATGTATGTATATATATATATATGTCTTCCTACTGTATTTTCCACTACATGCATCTGATGAAGTGGGTTTTAGCCCACAAAAGCTTATGCCCAAATAAATTTGTTAGTCTCTAAGGTGCCACAAGTACTCCTCGTTCTTTTTGCTGATGCATACTAACAGGGCTACCACTCTGAAACTTTGCATTTACAATGGACCCAAAAGATACTTACACTGAATTCAATATGGACTCCCAAGGATATCCAGGAAATTGCCATATCGACCACACTGGGGTCTATTCCCAGCTCTGCCACTGACCTGTTGTGTGACCTTGGTCAGATAATTTCTCCTCTGTTTCCCCTGCTCTGTGCTTCGGTTTATCATCCTGTCCTGTCTTGTCTATTTCGACTATAAGCTCTTCAGGGCATGGATTCTCTTTTATGAGTATGTACACTGCCATGTACAGTGGCACAACAGCTGGACTGGGGCCTCTAGGCGCTACTGTAGCACAGATTATAAAAGTTATCAATGTTGAATATTCCTTTGAGCTTTACAGCACATCCTGTATTTATCTTGTTAGGTTTTAAGTGACACGGACTTTCTGAGTTGTATATTGCCAAGCACATTGGCAGACCTTAGGTATTATTTGCAGAAACTAAGCAGTACCTAAACAAAGTTATGAACAATTTTTGTATCTAATTTTATGCACACGTGTGTTAGGATATTAGGTTTTAGAACTCTATATACGGAAGTACAGCGCTATTTTACTGATTGCCTAACTTCTTTCAGGGTCTGTCCAGCTAAAAATGGCTTGGTTCGAATGTTTCATACTTTGCTTAGCCTATGCATAGATTTTAATGTATGTAACTAATTTTTAAAAATTAGCCATACTGTGTGGTACATCAATGCATTCTTTACATAAGAATGTCCATACTGGGTCAGACTGGTGGTCCATCTAGCCCAATATTCTTTCTTCCGACAGTGGCCAATACCAGGTGCTTCAGAGGGAATGAACTGAACAAGTAATCATCAAGTGATCCATCCCGTCGCCCATTCCCAGCTTCTTGAAAACAGAGGTTAGGGACACTTCAGAGCATGGTTTTGCATCTCTGCCCATCCTGGCTGATAGCCATTGATGGACTTATCCTCCGTGAACTTATCCAGTTCTTTTTTTTTAATCCTGTTATAGTCTTTTGTGGATACAGACTAACATGGCTACCCCTCTGATACTTGTTATAGTCTTGGCCTTCACAACATCCTCTGGCAAAGAGTTCCACAGGTTGACTGTGTGTTGTGTGAAGAAATGGTTCCTTTTGTTAGTTTTAAACTGCTGCCTATTAATTTCATTTGGTGACCCCTAGTTCTTGAGTTATGAGAAGGAGTAAATAACATTTCCTTATTTACTTTCTCCACACCAGACATGATTTTCTAGACCGCTATCATATCTCACCCCCTTTAGTCATTTCTTTTTCCAAGCTGAAAAGTCCCAGTCTTATTAATCTCTTCTCATCTGGAAGCTCTTCCATACTCCTAATCAGTTTTGTCACATTGGAATTGGAAAAGGTACAGAAGAGTGTATCTTTTTTGAGATGGGGCGACCACATCTACACACAGTATTCAAGATGTGGACATACCATGGATTTATATAGAGGCAGTATGATATTTTTTGTCTTATTATTGATCACTTTCCTAGTGATTCCCAACATTATGTTAGCATTTTTGATTGCTGCTGCACATTAAGTGGATATTTTCAGAGAACTATCCACACTGACTCCAAGATCTGTCTTCAGTGGTAACAGCTAATTTAGATCCCATCATTTTATATGTATAGATGGGATTATGACAGGTTTCAGAGTAACAGCTGTGTTAGTCTGTATTCGCAAAAAGAAAAGGAGTACTTGTGGCACCTTAGAGACTAACCAATTTATTTGAGCATGAGCTTTCGTGAGCTACAGCTCACTTCATCGGATGCAGTGTGCATTACTTTGCATTGATCAAGTTTCCAAGTCTCATACCGCC